TTAGCGGAAAAATTTCTCCGCTAAATCTAGCGGAAAAATTTCTCCGCTAAATCTAGCGGAAAAATCTTGCGGGAGATTCCCCGCTAAATCTAGCGCACAAAATTTCCCCGCTAAATCTAGCGGAAAATATTCCCCGCTAAGTCTAGCGGAAAAATTTCCCCGCTAAATCTAGCGAAAAATTCCCCTCTAAATCTAGCGGAAAAATTTTTTCCCGCTAGATTTAGCGGAAAATTCCCCGCTAAATAGCGGAAAAATTTTCCCGCTAAATCTAGCGGAAAATTCCCCTCTAAATCTAGCGGAAAAATTTTTTCCCGCTAGATTTAGCGGAAAGTTCCCCGCTAAATAGCGGAAAAATTTTCCCGCTAAATTTAGCGGAAAAATTTCTCCGCTAAATCTAGCGGAAAAATTACCGCTAAATAGCGGCAAAAATTCCCCGCTAAATCTAGCGGGAAAATTAACCCACTAAATCTAGCGGAAAAATTTCCCCGCTAAACCTAGCGGAAAAAATTCCGCGCTAAATCTAGCGGTAAAATTTCCCCGCTAAATCTAGCGGAAAAATTTCCCCGCTAGATTTAGCGGAAAAAATTCCCCGCTGTCTAGCGGAAAAATTTTCCCTTTAAACCTAGCGGAAAAATTTCCCCGCTAAATCTAGCGGAAAAAATTCCCCGCTAAATCTAGCGGAAACATTTTTCTGGGGGGTCACGTGACCCCCCAAGGTCACATGACCCCCCCCCCCCCCCGCCCCGAGAACAGGTAACCCTCAGTACCCTTCCCTCCTCCTCCTCAAGAGCTGCGCTCCAATTCGGTGTTACAGGGAGTTGTAAACGGCTTTCAATTTTTTTATTTCGTGTTCTATGGCGAATGGAATTTCTCGGGGTTTTTAAGAATGTATTGTACTTTTTTTTTTAAAACAAAAACAAAGGAAGGAAAGCTGTTTTGGTGAGTCCGTGCGCGACAGAACAAATGCAACCGGAAAATTTGTTTCATCTTATGTTGATTTTTTTACGGCACCGTACACTCAAGCTGTGTCAATTTACAAAGGTCTAGCCGTCGAAAATATTTGACCACACAAGATATCCGAACTGCATGGATATTCACCGCCCACAACATGAAATTCAACGAGTATCATCAATCGAACAACATAGAGATATATTGTACGTACCCCACGGTGCCGCGTTATCCGAACAGGACTTGAGAAAGGTCTCGAATAAAACAGCGTGTCCAATATACAGTGCCGACGATCGCCGATAGTCACTTAATGACAATCGGACAGAATCCGGTGTGTTTTGGGGAACATCTAGAAGAGAGCTGTTTTTTTCGCACAGCTTCAAAGCAAATGAACGAACGTGTCTGTTCCGTCGCCACAACCCGGGCCCGACCCTATCAGCTATTTTTTGCGAAGACCCGGAACATAGACGGGAAGGCTTTTTGGAGATTATCTCAACATAAATAATCCTCCAAGAACGTCGAACTGCCTGCGTCGCGGGCAGCTCGACGTTCGCTCTCTTCGTTCGTTTCCTGTGAAGGCCGAGTAAGCTCCGAGCCCTGAACTATTCCCTGGTTGTCACAATGGAAGGCAAATAAAGTAAAAACTACCAAGAAAAGCCGGCGAACTCCAAATGCACAATGCAAGTGGGGAGCCACGCTGACCGGGTTTCCACAGCTCAGGCGGGTGCCAGAAATTTCTGGCTGATAGGGGTCGCTCGATTCGCAAAATGGCGGCGGCCAGAGCGCTCTTTCTGGAAAGGTCTATACACCAACGGATTCACTCAACAAACGGGTCCTACGGATTACGAGGACATGTAAAAGTGGATTTTTGACAAAATGTATTTCACTACCTGCCTTTCTGCCGGATGTGTTATTGTACTTATATTTTCAAATACTTTTTATATGTTGATAGTGTATTTCTGATTTATTTCGCTATGCGGAGGGCAAGTTCGTCTGCTTCGTGCGCAGGGGGTAGCGCTGACGTCAGAACGCCGAGCCCTGATTGGCTGATCGCGTCTGAGCGTCGTCTGCTCCTTTGCAACGTCGTCTGCTCGCAACGTCGTCGGCGTCTGTCTTACCTTTCCTGCGACTTTCGAAAGTGCAAAGGCCAGAGGCCAGGTTCACAAAACGATCTTACGCCAAAAATATGCGTAAGATCGTTTAAGATCGTATTTCAGCATCAGTATTTTAGGCGTCTTTGCCATGTATCCCAGAATTTGTATTTACAAATATGTTTTAGGGTAATTCTGCCAAATCCTGCTTTTGTGCGCGATGTGTGTATACATTGTCTATAACATTTTTTTTTTTCAAAATAGGAAACACTACATAAAATGAAAGTTTATTGGACATATTCATTACATTTGTATCAAACACTTGCTGTACACTATAATTTGTTACTACTATTTTGTCGATATCATACCGACATAATAAGGCATCATTTTGTATTCGACAGCCTGGATTGCTATAAAAAAAAAGAAAAGAAAACCACCTAGGTAACAATACTAAAATTATCACTTGCTTATGAAGGATCATTTCAAGATTGTTTTTAGCCTAAACTGTCGCGAAACACACCTTGATAGTCAGGAGCTTTGTCTTTTTTTTTTCTCTTTCATCAACGCTCACAATTCATCCGACAACTAAGATAATGAAAACACGACTGATTATGTTATATACAACAGTGACTGAGTCTTAGCCAAGATGATCGCGTGAACGTATACATATAAAAGTTGCGTCGGAAAAACTCAACAAAGTTTTACACACATTACAGGGCAAAGAGCCTGTGTGATAGGTTCATACTAGTGTATATCCGTGTCAACAACACAGCGCGCGTAGTCCGGTCTTCGATCTAGATCGAGTATTGACAAACTGTTGCAAAAATGCCTCACAGCGTATAGTTTTTCAGCATACACAAGGCATAAATCGTGGATGAGGCCTCTTGCCGGTTTGTTACACTAATCTTTGCAAACGGAAAATTCTGCGCGCGACAGAACTCCCGGGTTTCGTGATGGCATCAGCCGATCTCAAGGAAGTCAATAAATTGCGGTCCGGGGCTCCGAGCGCATGTACGAAAGCTAGGAAAACATGTTAGTAGGCATTCTATGAAGGATAAGTAGTTCCACATTGACCGACGGAGCGAACCGCTTTCATTTTGGGTCGTTTAATGCAGTTTCTTGACCGGCCGCGTTGTAATTTTTCCCAAGGATGCAACTGGCTGGCACAAAAAGATCAGCGAAATTCCAGCGCCTTATTACTTTTCAGGATTTAATGAAGAACGAAACATTATTTCTCTAGAGTGGAAAACATAGTTCGGGTATGACTGCTCACGCTTTGAGAAAAACACAAAGAAATAACCGGTAACAAAATACCGCCGTAGCTCTGCTGTGAAAGCCAACAGCTCGTGCCGGTAGGTGCCGGTAGACACGCTTGCACGCGCTCATGAATAAATAAAGAAAAAGAAACGAAAGCTTTGGGAAAAAAATGGTCAGATGTCATCAGCCTAAATAAAGCGCAGACAGGCTTTATAAAGGCTGATGACAAATAAAGGCAAACGTAATCTGTTGAGAGATGTCCACCAGTGATTATAGTACAGAACGCGTAATCAGGTACTTCGAAGTACTCTCAATAAATGTGATTTTTAGTCACATATTATGAGAGGTTCTTCACAACAAACGTAAAAACAAAAATAAAATTCCTCTCTAAATTGTTCTAATATTGAAAAAAAAAAACCAAAAAAAAAAAACCCGATTGTTGAAAACTTTTTACCAATTGGACTACCAGCCGCTTTATGGGTTCGTTGAAGTAAACCTACCGGTGTGTCACAACTTAGAAACCTTACGAGGTTCCTAAGCTCTAAAGGACTCCGGGTCACAGGGAGCATCTGTTTTCTGCAGCTTCGTGAATTTTAATTTAGGCAATCGGGCGTGCTAAGGCGCAGAAATCCCACTCCTATCACCAAGTAACGTTTCTCGTGAAAAAGTGCAACGCGAATGGTCAAGAAACGAGTTTCTTCCGTTCAATGAACCGACGTCAAGTGGGCGATGCGTCCCATGCGCCGAGAAACTGAGAGGAGAAGACGAGAGTGCGCGGGGGTCGTCGGAAAGCCGAGCTCGGGTTGAAACGATTAGCTTGGCTACAGCTAAAGCTAGCAGCCTTGGTCTCCACTCCAAACGCCGGACACTGGCCTTTCGCGTTCTAAGAGCCCAACCACATGGGACGTTTTTCAAGCGCTTTGTCCGCGTCAGCGCCACCTCGCGTCAGCGCCACCTCGCGTCAGCGCGCGGCGCTCCGTGCCGAAATCTGTCCGTGCCAGATTTCGGCGTCGGCCCGCGCGTCGCAATGTTGTGGGTGACTTCGAGCGACGCACGCCAACGCTGACGCAAACAATGCGCGTAAAAAGAAAAAGAAGTTTTTTTACGAGTGCGCTGGAGGCAAAGGCTGCTACCAGCCTCGGGTTCCACTAACGATTCTAACCAGAGCTCAATGTTCTGAAGTCCCCTCTGGTCTCCTCTTCTCCCTTCGTTTATCGACGCGCATACCGTTCACTTCAAAGCTGACTGCATACGGCGGAAGAAACGCGCCCACAGGACGTCTCCTTCGCATCACCTGAGCTCACTCTGGGAGCGTGGCCATGGGCGGGAGCGCGATCACGCGGTGAAAAATAGACGCGTATGGCCGGTTCAACGGGCACGATATATAGCTTCCACCGCACTACGAGCTTAGGGGCCGTGGAGCGCGAACACAGCGCAGCTCTCATTCACGAACAACGAATGAAGCGTCCTGTTTGGGGGCCAAAACCAACACCACCTAGAAGAGACCTGCGCATTCCTCCCCCCCGTATGGGGGGGGAGGAATGCGCAGCCAAGCAGCTTCACCGTGTTTGCTGCTTGGGGCGCGTCGGTCGGGGATTCACTAAACATGACGTCATGCGCAGCTGCCTTGACTTCTAGCTGCTGGTGGCACAACTCGGAAGATGTCTTCTTAAATACATTTGTCACGACGTCCTCTCGCAGGAATTATATCATCTTGAGGCCTTTGGATTCCATGCAGGCGTATAGCCCCTTGCTCGTCACGGACTGTATGCTGCAGATCTCTTGGAGCTTGCATTTCTTCGCACATTCTTTGGGCTTGAACAGCTTATGCATAAACCTGGGGAATAAGAGGAGAACAAAATATTTACTGAACATTTCTTAAACACGTACCGCAAAAAATTGCATATTTTTTTAAACGCCCTTTGTAAGTCTTAATAGACTGCAGGCAACTCGGCGTCCTCCGTATTTTGGGCATTGCTTTTATCATATGGCGAATTCGGGTGGTCAATCGCCGGCGAGCTCACGCCGGCGGCACAGGCAACGAAAACCGCGCCAGCGGCGCACCACGTGACCCTCTCCACCCGAACACAACGCGCCTGCAACTGGCGTTTTCGTCTGCCTGGGTCGCTCGTTAACAACTTCGTTAACTTCTTCCACGATTATTTTATGATACAATAGGCACGCTCTAGGCATCAGCAACATATATTCGGACTCTGAGATGTGGGTAAACAAATTGTAATATATTTTGTTTAGATTCTCGAGGAACTGTTGCCATCTTACAAGGATCCCAGAAGGCTCACCAGCGTCGCCATTTTATATTCCATTTTCTTGTTATTACCTTTTTGCTGGAATCCTCAGCATTTTGATTTGACCCAGCCCTCTAAAATAGTAATGCGCGTTCAAGTGTCGAGCTGCAGCACTATCAATACATTTTTTACAGCGGTGTAATAACACGCTGTGTCCCATAGGAAACTGATCTTGCGGAAGCTTCCTTTAAAATATTTTATCTTTATCTCCGTTGTTTTTGCTGTCTTTCTCGGACCGCAGAGGGGTGTCTGTCTCAGTGGCTTCGTTTTCTACTAGAACACGCTCTCGGCGACCATTGTTTCGTTTGGTTCCATTTCCCGATTCGGATATGACGATACCGGATACAGTCTGGCAGACAGGGTGCCCGACCTCTTGGAGCTCGGGCAAAACTTGTGCCGGTAAATTGCCAGCACACGCCTGAGAACTGCCACCCGAACGGCGCGCACTCGCCAGCCTTTGACCACCCGAATGCCCTTGGCGGAGATATGGCAAAATATTTTGCCGGGAAATGACCACGCGAATTCGCCAATAGAGTTATTACAATAAACGCTAGAGGCTCAGCTGGCGCTAGTGTGCTGTTGCAAATAAAGCCCCTTGATAAAAGCGTTTTTACAAGTACCGCCAACCATTGTTGTGGAAGCGCGCGAGACACGTGCCATGAGCGGGTGCTCCGCCGCCATTCGCTTCCAAGGCCGGCTCATTTCAGTACTGCGCCGCCATTCGCTTCCAAGGGCCGCTCGAGACATGGGCCTCGTGCACTCGCGCATTTTGGCGCTACTTGCACGACAAGCGCAAACGCATCGAGGGGCTTTAGTTGCAAATTGAAGCAGACAGCAAGCAGTCCGAAATTGACTTCCGGTAATGCATTCCTACGAAAAAAAGCGAGTGCATTTTCTCCCTGCGCTCGATTATAAGAGCAAATATCACGAATAATTCGTACCTACTAGGCACATTGGAACATTTCCCAGGCACGCAGATGAAATAATTGGTCAGTTACGGTGTTTTTATTTTAAAATCGTGGCATGAAAAACGGTGCTAAAACCGCTTCGTACGTGTATTTATGTGCACTGTCGGACACTGTTAGCGTGAACACGGCGCCGCCGCTTTCCAGCATGGGGGTATATGTGCCAAACGAACGAAGGACATGTGGAAAACCAAGAGAGACGGCAAGAATTACGCAGTAACACTGGATAAGTAACTCCTTGTATTTGCAGACGATCAAAATAAATTGAAAGTCACGTAATATAGTCCGATTTGCAATAAATAAATACTGCTTTATTCTTTCTGCTCATGAATACATGCGAAGATGCTTGTTCTGTGTTCTAATCATCACCCGCACGCTCCAAATCTTTGCAAATAGGGGGGAGTCAGAGAACAGGTGCGCGATAAAAACTGTCCAACATAGGAAATAATAAGAAAATACACCTTTCGTAGCCCACGTACTTTATTCTTTACGTTTCGAACGTTTTTTTAACCACTCGTAAAGATGCACGACGGGGGCATTTTCATATAGTGAGCTAGGACAGGCATATTAGCAATATATAAGCACCAACTGAATGCTGGCAAACTTTTAACACACTCTACATTCCTTTCGATCGTAATTTTGCTTGGAATCGTCGCTCGTTTCTACATGTATACCTGCCACGAAGCAGAGGTTTGGGCCTGAAATTTAGCGAAGTTCAACATCGTTCAGTGGTAAAGGAAAAAGGCTGTAACTAAAGCAATTACACTTTCACAATATTAATAAAGGTACTATCGCGGACAATATGAGCTGAAACAGCGCTCCGGCCTGTGCACGGTACTACCTGCGCCGCCTGTCGCATCACTCCCGAAACACGGCGCACCCTGAGGCCGAGATAAATTATCACTTGCGCTCACTGCGCCACTGCGCTCTTCCGGCCGTCTGCTAGCCCAATGTTCACGTTTTCAGCTAACATGCATTTCAGTGCATTTCAAGAAAGCAAAAATGCGCTGTCACGCTCGTATCTCCTCGAGGAGCGCTGCTTGACGAAGCTGCCTTGGTCCCTAAGCGGAGCCGATCTGAATATTATCGAAAACATTTGGAGGCGCATCAAGGTAGCTATGTCACGACGTCATCTCCACCGCGCCTAGCTTACAAACTGTGGAAAGCCATGGGAGGTAAATGGGAGTGGACTCAGGGTGAGCCAGACTTCGTGGCCGCGCTCTATGATTTCTTACCAGACAGTATGAGAGCCGTGGTCGCGAGTCAGGGGACAATGACACGGTATTAAATTATTTTGCAAGTTTCACTGCGGCTCAGGACCCCCTTAACTGGACTTCTGCAGATTGGAACAAAGCTTGATGCTACGGTTCCGACACACTGTTTGACGCCGTTAACCACGCATACTTTTGAGGGGTGCCTCCTTCATCCCGATCTTCTTGTATGGTGCAGTTGAACTTCCACGCCGACTATTAATCTTTTGTGTCTGACAATGTCCTCTGCAAATATTCTTTCAATTAAGTTTCAATCTTCTCTTGACAAATATATGACTGTTCATCCCACCTTATTAAGACTAGGAATTCGTAAACAAAAAACTGGTGTCTTGTCAGCAACTTGTTTTGCTTGAAACTAACACGTGCGCCCAGTAATAAAGAAATAATATTTTTGAACCTTTTCATACTACTCAAGGCTCCAAAACCTTCTCAGTAACATGTATGCTTACCGTTTTTTGAACATCTGTGATCAGTGAAACAGAAAAAAAAGAAGAAAAAAGCATTGGAGCCGGACTAAATCCGGCATACAGATTTTGGCCTATATTTTACAATGTCCCACTTTGTGCATGCACCTCTAATCAAAGAAAAACAACCTGCAACGTATTTTGATATGACTTTCAAAAACGGTAATCGCAGTTGAAATTTAAGACACTTCAATATTTTTTCTTCTCCAGTCAGCGTTTTTGTTTACGGGATTTTACGCGATAAAGTAAAGTGAATCAATACCAAAAGGGGAACGACCAGTGTAATCTTTTGTTCCCCCGCCGCCCTACCTCACATGCCCGCTGTCGCACCCACCGTCTCGCTTGCAGACAGCCGGAAGAGCGCAGTGGCGCAGCGAGCGCAAGTGAGAAAATATCTCGGACTCAGGGTGCGCCATATGTGCGGAGCAAGGCGACAGGCGGCGCAGGTAGTACCAAGCGCCGGCCGGAGCGCTGTTTCAGCTCATATTGTCCACGATAGTACATACTATCCGGTGCAACCTAAATAACAAAAGTTATTAATGTTATTTTCCGGCGACGAGACAAAATTCACGCGCGTTTTCCCATAGGAATACACAGGAAGACTGGAAAAGTAGACTGCATGCTGTCTGCTTCAATTTGCAACCGGAAGTCCCGTAGACACTATCGCCAGCTGAGCCTCTAGCGTTTATTGTAATAACTCTATGGGTCCGAAACCACAAAGCCTGTGGTTTCGGACCCGAGCCCAAAGCGAAAACACGCGCCGACGCAACAATTGCGAGAAAGTCTACGCTAAGCAATGTCGCCCCACACGTGTCCAGCTGCAGTCAAATACGTGCTGAGTCGAGTTCAGGTCTACAATATGGCGGGTCCAGAAAGTCGGAGCTTACGCCGGCGCCGCCATCTTCAATTCTGGAACTTCCGGTATGCGTGAAAACATCGCTTTCTTCTCGCCTCGACAGTAGAGCGTGTTAACATTTTAATTGCAACCGTCAGTCGTTCTTGTTATGACCCTTCTATACTTTTTTTACTTGTTCGGGGTTGTAATCTCTTCCTTTTTGTTCGGAACGCATACCAGATATGGCGACAACGTGGCTGGGTGCGAGGCTAAACGAAAAATGTGGCATATTTCTGTAAAAGTTTTTCTTTTTTCGAAGAAATTCCTAAAACCTGTTGCACTGTGTAGTTGCTTCATACTTTCGCCGCGAAACTATACGGCCATAGAAAAAAAAAAAGATGATTTGCACTTCTTAACCCATGTACTACAGCGTGATTCAAGGAGACGCTAGGCTAATCGACCGCAAAATTCGGTTTCTTAACGTATCGGGCTACGACTTTGTGCAGCGTTGCCCACAGATGGTGCATTTTTTTTTGTAAGATTTGCAAAGAGCGAACTTACCTGAGGAAAAAGTAAAGGAAGAAAAAGGCTGAGCTCCTATGGAAACGCAGCGACGCCACCGGTCTTCAAACAACACGGCACCGTTTCGCACGGGAGACAAGAGATGGCGCAAGTGGTCGCGACACCAACTGCCGCCAACGAACGAGCATACGACGCCGAGAGCCGGCGTCTTTAGCAGACAAGGAACTGCACTTCCTTGTTGTTACCGCGCCTGTTTTTGTTTCTGCGACTGTTGCCGCCTGCGGAACGCGCGCCGCTTTTGGGTCGAGAAGATTGTCTGCTAAAAACGCCGGCTCTCGGCGCCGTATGCTCGTTCGTTGGCGGCATTCGTTGCGCCATCTGTTGTCTCCCGTGTGAAACGGCGCCGTGTTGTTTGAAGACCGGTGGCGTCGCTGCGTTTCCACAGGGGCTAAGCCTTTTTCTTTCTTTACTTTTTCCTCAGGTAAATTCGCTCTTTGCAAATTTCGCAAAAAAAAAAAAAAAAAAAAAAACACCATTTGTGGGCAATGCTGCACAAAGCCGTAGCGCGATAGGTTAAGAAACCGAATTTTGCGGTCGAGTTAAAGAGCCTGGCGTCTCCTTGAATCACCCTGTAGTTGTTATGCAATACACCCTTTTAAAGAAACACATCAAGCAACACTGCCTAATCATACTTTTGGCTGTTAATTTCTAGGCCGCAGGTGGCTCAAGAAGCTGCCGCCCGATATAAAGGGAACAGCCGTTAGCATCCATCCATTCAGGGAACAAGGCGTGCGATTGGATCCGGCCCTCGCCGAACACTGACGCAGTATTCGTTTTCGATATGAGCTGAGCCTAGCCCGACGCCGAACGCTGACTCGGCCCTCGTGTCCAATCAAGGACATAACCTAACCTAACCTAAGCTCCTTGTGTCCAATACATGCTTCGAGTACGTATTCATTCTATGGCGAACACGGATAATTAGCGCGGCAGCTACCAGATGGCGCACACTCCTAAAAAAAGGATAACTTCCCTTTAAAAAATAAATCCATTTTAGAGGAGTGTAGTTTATAAGTTACCTGTAGTAATCTTGGAAGAGATCGTCGTCCTTGTTGAACCTCTCTGCCAGCTCGTGCCAGTGCCGCGGCGAGAGGGACTTGAGGCCGTAGTGTTTCTTGGCCGCGTACTGCAACGCCCACCTGGGCTTGTCGTCTCGGTTGGTGGCCGCCAGATCCATCCAGTACGTCTCGTGGTCTACAACCTCCTGCGCGGTCGACAAAGCGGGAAAGGCTTTGACTACATTTATTCGTATAACGAAATAGTATAATACCGTTATTTCTAGAACGTAACGAACGGTTACTTTTGCGTCACTTAAGGTTGCAGTATTTGGCAGCGATAAGCCGTATTCACGACCTCCGTCAGGAATCATTTTTTTTTGTTGCAGAGAACGATTGCATAATCTTCTTACCCTTTGTTTATTAAATTGCAGGATAAACAAACACCGCTCATAAAAAAAAAACGCATTTAGTGTGCGTGATTGGTTTAGTCGGGGATAGAAAACGCACAAGTGCGATGAACGCCGCGGCGATTAGGGTGACCACCCGTCCCGCGACTCGCGGGACTGTCCCGCATTGAGGGCTCGTGTCCCGCGCCCCGCAAGAAATTCCCAAATATTCAAAATGTCCCGCATTCCATAATGTCGTAAAATTCACTCTGCAAGTCATGGTGCCGCCGAACAACGGGGCACGGGGAAGCGCGGAGGTCGTTGGTAATCGTGTGAATCCCAATAGTGCGCGATTTTCTACCCAAGCATTGCTGGAAGCGACCGTCGTTCTTGCAGGGTAACATGCGCATTCTCCGTTGCACCTCTCCCTTAGTGACAATATTGTAAGAAAGATTGCTCGCCAAAAGTTTAAATATAACTTATTGTAATTATTTTCAGATCCCTGTGTCATTGCGAAAAGGTTGCTGTGGATTTTTGTTTAGTGAAGACAGTCACACAAGGCCAAAAGTCTGCAACTCACAACGGTGGAAAAGAACATAATGTTAAAAATTTGTGCAAGACCATATTAATAAAAGTAAGCGTTGACAGAAAACAATAACGCAAAAAAGATTTGCAGTTTATTAATTTCATTTGATGCATTGAATTCTCCTGCAGATGATGTTTCTGCCTTCAACTTTGACACAATTAATAACATATTTGGCATAAAAGAAATCACTGGGAGCGCATATTATTTTAGCCTATTTGGTGGAATACAATTTGCAGGTGTATAGACAGCCCAGGAGATTAAATATGTTAACAGAGCCTCGGTACTTGGTGTGCGTGTTCATAAATTTCCAACCCCCCCCCCCCCCCCCCTCTTTCCCTCCCCCCTCACGCGTGTCCCGCATTTCACTAGCAGGAAGGTGGGCACCCTAGTGGCGATGCACTTTTGAGACTGCTTGATTGACTCCATATGGGGACGTAGCGTCGGCTACATACGGTCGGACGACGTAAAGTGAAACAGAGTATAGAAAGGGTCGCTTAACAAACCCATAATTGTTGTCACCACAACGCGTTTTATGTGCCATCTGGACTTTCGTCCAGAGTAATAAACGAAACTCGATCTACTTTCAATCTATCCCGGTCAAAAGCAGTCCAACTGTATACGTAAGGTAGCAGTAGCACAATACTACCAAACCGCAACCTGTCTTCCAATTTAAAACGCGTACCATTTCTCTTTTTGGGGATGTGCTCGTGTGACCGGGAGGGAGGGGAGGTAGGGGAAGGAGCCTCGAGCCGCACACGCGAAGAGCCGCATGCGGCTCGCGAGCCGCAGCTTGGCCACCCCCGCGCTATAGCGTTAAAAGGGTGCGGAAATGAAATGTTTGCACATTTATTTCTTTGTTTAGATGTGGTCCATGTTCTGCCGGCCGCCCAAAAAACCCTACCCTAGACTAGTGTTTGTGGGCTGCAGCAGAGAATTGAAGAAAACTAATTTTAAAACGAAGGAACAGATTTCAAAATTGCGTCTGGTGGCGGTCTGTGAAGCCCCGTTGGAATGCCGTCACGTCATGAGTTCCTAAGAGGTAACGCCACTTCGCGGAAGTATGGCTCTCTCGTGGAGTTACTTAGTCCTGAATGTGACTTGGCGGAGAACGCTGATAAGCTGAGACTGCAGCCAAAGTTACAAGCGCGAGCTAGCCCGTGCTTCTGGCCTTGAGACATGCATTTCTAGCGCGACCGCTCGATCGTTCTGCGGAACAACGCTTCAAAACAGAGACCTCGAGCTCTCGTGGTTGTGGCATTGCTGCAGTCTCAGCTCCACAGTGCTTCTGCAACGTGCATTCGACGCCGTCGAGATCGCCGTTCTTTGCAGATCTTAAGGAGGAGCTTGATCTCGGGACACGGGGACCTCTGTCAGGCCAACCATACGCCATTGCTGGGTACTGACGGTTATTTCTACTTACTGGTTCCTTCGAGCCACTACTTCTGCGGTATGAAACTAACACAGTGAAGTGAACATAAAATACCGGCATGGCCGCAAATGATGTTACGGTCAAGCTATGTATAGGCCATAGGGCGTACTAGTGTCACTATAGACGCTTTACACACGCGCCAAATTACAGCCGCCATGGCTGACCTTCTCTTGTCTTACCGAGATGCCGAGCAACTGAAACGGTAGTTGGCGATCCTCTACAAAGGCCGATGCTTTAGAAAAGGACGCAGTTGAATCTAATGTGGCAATAACCTAGCCGGCTATGGTAATGATGAAGTGAAATAAACGAAATACGAGGAAACAAAAACTGAAGGTCAGTTATGGCTGCGTCCATGCACAGCTGCTGCAAAGCGTCTATATGAAGCTACGCTGTGTCTAGGGCGTACATTTCTCGGATATTACCACTAGGCGAGATTGTCACGCCTTGACGCCACCCAGCGGCCAGGCTCGCAACTACAGTACCCCTGACCATGCGCAAACTATTGACGTCATGAGTGCGATACGCGTTGCGCTTCTCGCTGGCCGACTTAGAAGCGAGGGGTAGAAAGTTCGCACTCACGTCATTTCGTTTCCGTCGTGTCGTAGAGAATCCGGCTTCGGCGTTGGTGGGACTGAAAAATCCTGATTGGTAGGGAGGGTCATGACATCACAACCACATGTGACATCACACGCGTGACATCAACGTGGCTCTGACGTCATGAACTTCTCGACCCGCTAAATTCGGCGGGAAAAAGTTTCCGCTCAATTTAGCGGAACGTTTTCCCGCCAAATTTAGCGGGAACATTTTCAGCTAAATTTAATGGGAACATTTTCTGCGAAATTTAGCGGGAGGCACGCCACGTGGCTGTTGTGACATCACACGTGACGTCACACGAGGTCACACGTGACGTCACGTGACGCTACCGACTAGGCCACGCACACACGCTTGCACGGCTTGGAAACGAGCGCGGGTTTATATGAGAAGGCTTTGCGAACGGAGTCCGATAAAGTTTTTAATAGGGAAATCGGCCGCGTGTCGTCATGATTTAGGGATTTTTAGGATTCTTAGGACCAGCAGAGTGAGTTATCGCCATAATTAGGCCATCTCAGAAACCTCCTCAGGGCACTTTTGAAGTTTTAAGACTGCTTCACACAGCCCCGTTTTCTTATCAGGCTACGAAAGCTTACGCCACAAGTCACCGGGACATCTGTGCTTCCTATTAAGCTTGGCTAGTAGTTCAAGGAGATGGCCTGACACGCAACATTCGAGATACGAATGTTTCGGTGGCATAACGTGAAAAAAATGTAAGAAAAGGGTGCTGTGTGGACCAGCCTTTACTCCTGCCGATCAAATCACGTAATCAGTGACCGACGCCAGAGACGCGCCCTATTTCCATTACGTGCTAAACGAACGGGCTGCACTTATTTCATCTCCTCCATGCAGGGTGTTTCCTTCCCGGAGTCATAGCGCCGGAGATGCCGCGGCGCCAGAGACGGCGGCGCTGCGATCGCATCTAGCTCGACGTTGCATCGCAATCTGTTTTACCGGCGCCTTTTGAAAAGATAGTGTGGCAAATGGGTGATTTTTTCCGACTGAGAGACACTTACCCAGGAGGGCTTGTCCCCCACTCCGTCCACGGTGTACACCCGGTAGCTGGGATTGGTCTCGACGAAGGTGGTGACGCTGGGTCCCATGTAAGCGACCCCCGTGGGCCGGGACTCGTCCTTCTCGTCGTAGAACAGGTGGAAGTGGTCGAAGTGCGTGTGGCCGTAGAAATGGGCCACGATCGTCGACTCGTACCTGCGCGACGTGGGCATGCAGCCTCAGTGACGACGAGATCGACGAGAAAAGCTTGTCGAAACACGTCCTTCTTAAAAGGAAATCAAAGCAAAGTAACGACATGATACGCTATTACAGCCCCATTTTGTTTTTCCCATGCTTTTCAGACAAACGTGTCTCCGCAAGACGCAACACGCGAAAACAAGTGGTAACCATCGAAATCAAAACTTCTGCTTGGAATCAGAGACCGGGGCATGGAGATTGAGAGAGAAAGAGAGAGAGAGAGAGAGAGAGAGAGAGAGAGAGAGAGAGAGAAAAGAAAGAGAAAAGAGAGAAAGAGAGAGAGAGAGGGAGGGAGGTGAGAGGGGGGGGAGGTCGCGGCCGATATCAGCTCTGTTTCGGAATCGCGCCTCCATCCTCACATATTTTTCTATTATATTTCTGGGTCATAAAATCATTTACCTGAATCTAAATTTGGCAGAGATATCTCTGCTAACCGCTTCATTCATATGCAGCTGAACTTCGAAATTAACTGCAGTAAATTATTTTAGGAATGAGAGATGTAGCGAGCACGAAATAGACATATTTCACGCGTGCCAAGTAAACTTGTGGTATTTTTGGACGCCTTTGGAATTAAATATTACATGAATATAGTGACGAAATTAATGCCTGGGGAAGGGGAACAAACGGGACAAAGGACAAACACAAATCTCCAAACACGGCAATAAATATAGTGTCTCACTACAAAAAAACAAAAAGCATAAACGTAAATTTTTTTTACTGATCAATATTTTTTAAAGGGGCACTGACACATCAAAATTATATATATATATTTTTTATTGTCCGAAGCGATTGAAAACGATTCCGGGACATTACCCTAAAAATTCGAAACTTGGGAATTCAGTATTTGTGAAGTAAAAACCAATTTCTAAATGCCGAATTCGAAGTTCCCGCGCAATCCGCGCCAGCGCAGTGACGTCCAATTTTGCGGTCTCCTGCCAGTCGACTTTCTCTCGGACCTCCGCTCCACGCGACAAAACAAAGCGCCATTGCCACCGCGACCCGAAGCGCCGGCGTACCAGGAAAAAAAACGGTTTCTTCCCCGACTCACCGATCATCCCCTGCTCGAGCGCCGCCAAGTTTTCCGAGGGAGGATACAAAACCAAACAGCGACATCAGACCGGACTGAGTTTTGGCATTTCAAAAAGAGGGGCCGTAGTGTGTTCGCACTTGCGTTAAAAAAACATGTTTTACGATTGCCGTTATTAAATGTTAAAGAAATGTCGCCTACAAAGTTTCTAAATTTTATGATTTTTGACGTCAAACGAAGCGAGGAGGTGAAAAGCGGGAGAGAAAAACGCCAAAAATAAAAAGGCGCGCACGCGCGCGGGTAAGTTGTTTTTCCGCGATGCGTTTTTTTTTTCTTTTGCGTGCCTATGACTACAACTTGCATCGTTTTAGACAATATAAAAAAGAGAACGACCTTTGGGGTGTCAGTGCCCCTTTAAAGCATTACGTTTTGTATCTGGGTAGCAGAAATCCCATACTAGTCTGAAAGTTCTAAAATGTCCCTCGTCACGTGGCCGAACAGCACAGAGAGCACTCCTGCTTATATGTGATGCGCAGGAAGAACAAAAGGAAATTGCAGCGGTGACGACGATCGACACCAATGATCGATTGCTCGCCTAATTTCGTAGCTCAATTCTGTCATCTTTCACAATAGGGATCCCACGTACGATTACGTTTGAGGCATATGCACAAACGTGCGAAACAACTAAAGAACAATTTGAATACCGTATTTACTCGAGTAATAGCCGCACTATTTATGAACAAGGCCCTTGTTTCTACTTTCCCGTAAAGCACACATGCAGCCAATCATCGCGTTGCGCATAAATAACATAGCGAATAACTAGATCAAGAACACGAGTCTCCATCAAATGCAACCGTCACAGTTGGTACCTTCGCGCGAAGACGTTATCTCTGTCCTGTAAACCTCTGGATTCATGCTGTCGATCGCAGTGATTGGCAATCCGCGTGCTCCGCGGAAAAGCGACCCCTCAGGTTTTCTTCATAAACAGTGCAACTATTACTCGAGTAAACAAGGCATTTGTAGTACTCAGTTCGATTTAATAAAAAAAAAAAAGAAAACGTAGAAGAAAACAATCCCGAACAACTCAACATAGTCGGTGCTCATTTAAATGGCAAAGCAAGCTGGCTTCAATCGTGACACGAATGTCGTTTGCGGAAAGCCATATACAGTATATATACAAGAGAGCAGTCGACTTCCCGCGGACTTCATTGTATCCAATGATCAGATCGACACATACTTCTTTGAGATTTCCGGCCGTGCCTACTCCGCGGGCCTAAAAATCGTAGCTAAACACTGCATCCCCCCCCCCCCCCCCCCCCCCCTCCGCTGCCTCAAGTCGCAGTATACACTGCTCGTACAAAAAGACACGGTCGGCTGACATAATGACGGAATCGTCTGCAAAACATGCCTCATGCATGCCTCTACATAGAGGCGACCGCGGAGCATCGAAGAGAAATTTGACGACTGTGATTGGGTAGAAGGAGATGGAAGAGATGAGGATTGAGTGGGTGTAAATGGTCCCCGCTTAATTCGATACGCTTCGGTCGCATTCATGGAAACGTAACAAATGTCCGAAACATGTCTACTCTCGTGCTTTTTTCTCACAATGTGCCCTTCCCTCCCCCTTTTTTCCCTTTACATAATGTCTAATGGTGTAGCAGGTACAGATGCAAATAAAAATACACTTAAAAGGGCGCTCCGGCGGTGACATCACGCTGCCCCACTTCGCAGGCGCGGCGCCCGCCGCCGGCTCCACGGCTTCCGTGACGATGCATCTGCGTTGCTGTGCTTTTCTTTGTGTTTTATTTCTGAGGCGCGTCCGCTTTGACCCTGAGTGGCCCCGCCGCTTCTGTGACGAAGCATCTGATATGACGCGTCGCTGCAGCTAATGGGAATCTACGGCTCGTTTTGGGCTTCGCTCCATGGAAGGGTCAATGCTTTCTCATTAATGAATAATCCTCCAACTCCTCAACTGTTACACCTGATTCGATGTCTCATCTACTGTCTTCAGTACGAATACAGTCATCTTCACCCCGACAGTTTTTTTTTTTAATGGCCTTTAATGCGATGCGGTTTTCTACGTAGGGCTTTCGGAAGCGGTCGGGCAGCTTTCTAGCTCTTTGTGGTTCGCAAGGCTTCCCCCGGAGATGGTAGTGATGGACGTTTAGACTGCGCAAGAGGTGCAGACGCTGATGGGGAGTATTGGAGAGCCGTCGGAGGCAACGAGAAAACGCACCAGCTTGCGGCTCATTTGGGTGCGGCCTAGGGGACCTCGATTGATACCCAGTTCTTCGATTTCACATTGCTCGTTCCTTCGGGTTCAAGATCTGGAACCTTTGAGTATTTCGCTGCACATACAGCTCTCTTGTGGTGGCACCGCTTCCGAATGTGTATTCGCAGCTCTGGCTAAGCAAACGGCAATGCATGCGTCATGTGAATCTGCCCACTGTTCGTCTTGTACTAATTGTTCGTTTATCTGCGCAGGTGGTAACATTCTTTGCGGATCGGTTTCGTTTAGCTCGCCGGGATAAGCCGATTTTCTTTTTTCTGGTTTAACCATAACCAGCGCTTATATAGACCGTTTTATCGTGGGTAGCGCCATTTTGAGAGCGAGAGAGAAAAGGGGAAAGGGCTACCGGTACTTTCCTCCTTTCTGATTGTGTAGAAAGAGTGGAAGTCCCGGATGAGAGGCTTGGCCGGTGTTGGGCGTCTGCAGTGCCCCAACTTCGTTCGCGCTTTCTTCTACGTTTCAAACTCCCAAACTTAATTAGAGCCAATGTCTTTGATGGCGACACTCCCCCGGTCATCGGGACACCATTGCTGGGTGATAGGGTGCACGAATAACGACAGAAAGCGTCGAATACTGTCCGAGGACCTATGTAGCTTGCATGGAATCCGGCAAGCCATGTACGGCTGGAATGTTTTTAAGCTCCATTGCTTTCCGCATGACTGGAAATGATAAACCATTTATACATTTTTGCTTGCAATGGGGCCTATTTCAACGTAGCCGCTTTTAGTTGTAATCAACAAGCGATACACGAAACTTGAACCTCAATTAACTTTGTAAGCGCCCGGAGCTGCTACATATCATCTTGCTGTGCTGTTTTTATCTTCGTGTCCCTGTTCTTATATTTCCTTGTGAATGAACGACGAAGACGCTCCAGATGTACTTTTATCAAACCGCAGAAAGCCTCGAAGCAGCCACGAATTATCTTACTATTTGATGCAATATTTTGAGTACTCACCTCCAATTTCTATAGCTGGCACGTTCGCTGCCGCTGTTCCCCCCCGTCGCCACACTGGCGGATGCCATGACTCGAACAAAGAAACGTGCACACTGGGCTCGAAAACGCAGATCGCAACACACGAGACGTTCCCTGCAGCGACTATCAAGCGCCTCAAAGCGCCTTAGTCAACGGAAACAACCCACCAGCGGCACTCCAAGGAGCGCTTTTGCCGGCTCTCTAATATCGCGCAAGAAATCGCGATTAAAAAAAAAAAAAACAAAAAACAAAAAAAAAAAACAATAGAACTACGTTTTTAACAATTTCGAGCCTCACCCGGCGGCGAAAATAAGCCTTCAACTAAGTGTTGTAGATGATAAAATCGATTCAGTCACCACTGCAAATTATCACTATTAAGATTAATTCAGTTACGAAATTTTACAAGCTGAAACAGCAGTTATCATGAGAAAACTCGCACGCACATTGCGAGCGTACCCCATGTTCATCGGCGGTACAGCGTTCGGTGCGCGCTCCATTCACGAAATGTTCCGAGCGAAGTCGAGAGGATGGCATTGAGGAAACGCCTTTTCGGTTTACGGACGCAATCCACTGCCGCCGGAGACAGGGGTCATGTGGAAAGCGATGGAGTTCAAAGACATTGCAGCCGCTCTCGCCTTGCTGGATTCCTTGCAAGCTACATATGTCCTCGGACAGTATTCTATGCTTTCTGTTTTTATTCGTGCACCCTATGACCCAGCTATGGTGTCCCGATGACCGGGCGACTGTTGCCATCGAAGCCTCTGGCTTTAATTAAGTTTGCGAGTTTAAAACAGAAAAGAAAGCGCGAACGAAGTTCGCGCACAGCAGACACCCAACACCGGCAAAGCCTCTCATCCGGGACTTTCACTCTTTCTACACAATCAGAAAGGGGGAAAGCGCCGGTAGCCCTTTCCCCTTTTCTCTCTCGCCCTCTTTCAGTAAAACGGTCTATATAAAGTGCCCCCAAAAAAAGAAAAAAAAAATATATATAGACATTTTTTTTTTTACCGCAAAAAACAACTACGCATTGCCGAACGCTCATATTTCGAGATGCCAAAGTTTCAGCACGAACCAATGTTTTATCAAAAAAGTTATAAGTGATTTTTTTGAAAATTTCCCTGGGAAAATGGTGGCTGACGGAGCACTCGCATACGTGGAGCTCTATGGCGCCAGAAACCGAAAACGGGCGAAACTGGGCCCCAAAATGATTTCTTACTACTGAATAAGATATCAGTTCGTGCTGTAACTTTGGCATCTGGTTCATACCTCCAGCGCCACCTTCGGGTGGAGGATGGGCGTTCGTTGATGCGTAGTTTATTTTTGCGGCGAAAAACAAAACAAAACAAAACAAAAACATGTACATTTTTTTTTTTTTTTTTGGGGGGGGGGGGGGGGGGGGGCACCTTTACGTAGATCAGGAATGAGGTCACTCACATTCTGCTGTGGAGCTAGGTGGGATGGGCCTGCTCTTCAAAACTTGACCCTTTCCAGCAAATATACGTCAGGGAATCTCACACGAATAGCGAAATATTGGAGTGTACGATCTTTAACGACGCGCAGACTCGCCCGATCTGGCACCACAGGCGCTACCGGTTTTTTGTTTGTTTGTTGCCTTTTTAGTATATTCTACTACGAACTGCGCTGTTGTGGAATCGACAAATCAAAATAAAACATGCCGTTGGTTTAAAATAAACAACAAAAAAATATTTAAGGCTTCCTCTATCTTCTTTTTTTACGCGCTGAAATTTGGTTGAACGGCGTGTGTGCTGCTTTAGTAGCTGGCAGCTAAATAAAGGTAGAACGCGGCGTGTCCTGGACATTTTATAATCACTCTGCAGACGACGAGGTTCAGAGATTAGCTGATAAGAACGCCAAAGAACAAATCACCAACCAAGAAGCGTGAACATATAATAGGACACGCCTCGCGTTCCTTAAAGGCCGACCTGCATAATCATCTTCTGCCGGGCAGAAAACCGGTTCCCAGTTTCCTTCTCCATGTACTTTCGCCCTCCCCTCTCAAGAACGGGTCTCCAAGCTACTTCTTGTAGAAAGGAGAGTGGCGTCCCTCTTTCTCACATGGAAAGGAAGAATTGAGAGATTGTTTCCTTCTTTCTGGCTGTTCTTCGGCCTTTAAGTTGTCGATGACTTTAGTGTGCGCGTTGAGCAAAGCGCTTCCAACCACCAACACGTACCCCTGTATACGTTCTCCTGCATGGCCTACCTGTTAGCGATGCGCCTGAAGCTGTTGGCCCAGGCGGTGATGCACTCGAGGTGCACGGGGGCCACGTGGCCCATGATGAAGACCTTGTCGCCGGCGTCTTCGGCGCGCTGCAGTTCGTCGACGAGCCAATGAAGCTGACCCTTGGGGTCTGTCGAGTTGTACAGGAGCCACCTGCGTCGGGACCACATTCGAGGATTCAGACGAACGCCTGTTTGTTCAAGTATAACTAAGCCATACATTCCCCGGTGTTTCTTTATAAGGAAAAAATAGGCGGTTGTTTTTCGGTGCATTTTTATTTTTCGCAACTAGGTGTATAGTCGGTTATTTATTTCGTATGGACTCTAGACTGGCGATTATCGTTTAAAAACGCTATGAGAAACTATGCGTTCAAATTTATTCGACAATATGTATGCGCCCTTGTAACTCTTCACGCTTATGATATAATCCGTACTTGCAAGCCACGGACTTATAACGTAACCATCTGGAGTTTTTCATTGGTTTTATTTGTTACCCTTGTGGTTTGTGTGATGCCAAAACTCCAATTGCTTTCAAGCAAAACGTTTTTATCGAGAGGAAGGCAACTTGCTTTTGCTTCTTTCTATGAGTATGAAATACTGTGAGCATAAAATACTAAATTCGTGGACATGAATGCATTCGTAGTTGCCAAGAAAGGTTCAAGGTACACTGCACGATACTGTTAGTGCGAATAAGTGATCATCGATTCTTACTGAATTTCTCCTAGAATAAAGGGGCTGCCCTAAACAGCACAAAAAAACAACAACAAAACTGCTAGTTTGGAGGGAAGTGCCCATTTAAGGCAATAACCTGAGTGAAGATGTCTGGATAAAATGCTAAAGAGTACTTACCAATGTTGTGTTTGTGCTAACAGTGTCGCGCAGTGTACCTATACTAGAGAGTAACACTAACCCATCCATACGCGAGGATTTTATTGAAGACGCGTAAGCGTTCAGTCACTGCGAATTTCATAGGGATCACAAAGCTTCAATTCCAAGGAAAATAATTTTTGCAGAAACATTGAACACGGCGCTTCGGTTCGAAAGGAATGATCAGTCCCCTTTCAAACGTTCTTTTAAACATTATCAGTTGCTAGCCTCTTCCAACTGATTACGTTGGCTGACGCCCCGAGTACTTCGCAAAAGAAGTACACACGGGAGTCGGGAAACGGGTTGCTATAAAAAACCAAGAATAGACAGAGCCTCGTCAAGGGTCTCCGTCTTTCTGGTGTGTTTCCTTGCTTGTGCGCAGGGACGTGAAGCAGTTACTTCTTACTTCCCTCGAGGGCAGAGTAAACACGACTTCGTGTTGTCATATACGGTAATCACCATTGCTTACCAGTTGTAGATGTAACAAAGATTGGTGTTCAAGGAAATCACCCGGAGTCCTTTGCCGGCCTGGATAGAGTAGAAGGCACCCCTGTCGTAAGAAAAAAAACAAAGTTTTTATTTATGTACATAAAAGGTGTGGGGTCTCCCAAAGGTCATCTTGGACATGGGTCGTTGACTTACTAGCCTAAAACGAGCGCATAGAATCAACATGCAGTGTTATAAAAGAAAGTGCTTTATGCGCTCTAAAAAACACATACGCATCAAATTTTGGGCTGTGCGCGCGGAAGGTTCATAAATAATATCAATTTTGATATCAACTGAGAAAGCAGAGAATTAGCAGACGCACATAACGTTAGGAACCCCGTAAATGCGGCATGCGCACTACTGTTCCAAGCACGAAGTTTCACTCATCCCACGTTTTTAGACCGGAGTATCGTTTTATTCTTTATTTATTCGCTAGGGTATCGCATCCGTGTATACGCCGATAACTTACACTTTAAAAAGTTCCCGTGCGTCTACTTTCCGGCACAACACTCTGGGAGCCAATCACCGCAACTGAAATGCGATGATTGGCTCTGGGAGCCAATCATCGCATTTCAGCGAATGACGATGCCGAAACATATGTTTAGACCAAAAAACACTGCCCGAGTTACCGAAGCAAACATGATCGTACCACACTTCACTAAAGTCAGACATCGAACCAAAACCAAATTGCGACGAGTAGTGAGCGAACTCAAATATCAAATCTTACCTTTTAATAGTCGGCTTCGTAGACTCTGGCAGAAAGTCCATCCAGTGGTTGGCGAATTCGTCGTACAGCCACTGGACGGTGTAGTTTCCTTTGTTGGGAACAGGGAAGCTGCAATAACGCTATGTTCGATCAGTGTGTTCAATCAATCTGCAGCGAGGGGCCCACTAAAAAAATCGAACCCACTAAAAAAGAAAATACCCAAAAGAAAAAAAAATCATTTTCGCAAACTAATCGTAATTGAATAAGAAAATGGTGCGGCTGGGTGGTGCATTTTTTTTGGAGGGGAAAAGGGGTGGGGAGGGGGGGGGGGGGGCAAATAACGAAGAGAAAGCTTGCGTCAATTAAAACTTGAACTAAACCCTATTCTTCCCATGAGGGAAACGGGAATTAAATCTTCTCAACACCAAAGTAAAAAAAAAAAATTTTTTTTTTTCATTGTTTGGCATTTTTTATTTAGCACACACAACAAAAGGGGTGACAAATAATTCTGACTGCTCTCATTTTCTGTTTGTCCAATAAAACGTCGTAATGGCCCACAGAAACACAGCGTCGAACTGAAAGTTTTATCGGTTCGGTTCGGGCTCGGATTCGGGTTCACGGCTTTTGGTTAGTTCCGTTTCAGTTCTGGAGAAAAAAAGTAACGGTTCGAACCGATTTGTACTTCTAATTTGAGAACATATCTCCCGTGTTGTTTTGGCAATACTATTTCAAGCGTGAAACGAGTAACTATATAGCTTTCATCATTCGTACACTCACTTTAATTTTCAGGTACCAAAAATACCATATATTTGCTCGAGTCATAGCCGCACTTTTTTATAAACAAGGCCCTTGCGTGTGCTTGCTTGCAGAGCACACATACAGCCAGTCGTCGCATTCTGCGTAAAAAAACGCAGCAAATACCGAGGTCGAGAACACGATTCTCCGTAAAATTCCGATCTGAGCAGATATCATTTTTGCGTAAAGACGTTATCTCTGTCCCGTAAATCGCTGCCATTTTTTCTGCCGATCACGGTGATTCGCTATTTCCGTGCTCCGCGGGAAAACAGACCCACAGGCTTTGCTCGTAAACAGTGCGGTCATTACTCGAGTAAACGCGGTAGGAAATTGCGTTATTTAATTTCGACGAAACGAAAAAAAAAACAACAACAAAAAAACTAGATTAACATACAAAAACATAGTGTTTATGCGACTCAACATCAATTTGTTTACCTTAGTCGCATATATCTTATCTGAATTTGAAAGTTTACCACTCTGGTAGGTCGCCTAAAATGCCCGTGTTTGGTAGGATACGTTGTTGGGCTAGTTGGTCCATCTTAGTTAACCATATAAAATAGCGCAAGAAAGACAAGGACAAGAAGTATACAGGACGAGCGTTATTAGAAATCCGCTTGACGTGGCCAAAGGACGGTCTGACGAATCCCCCAAAAAGTAGATACTTCCGCGGGTACCAGCCCTTTCCTCAAGCAAAACAAGATGAGTCTTGCACGACAAGTAGCAAAGGCGATATGGCTGACCAGACACGAAGCTGGTTCACTAAACGTAGAACATAAGACAGGACCCACTGTAGAGGAAGTATAGTTAGTAGGGTACGTTGTTGGGCTAGTTGGTTCATCTTAGTTAAACATATAAAATAGCGTAAAAAAGACAAAGCGCTTGTCCTGTATACTTCTTGTCCTTGTCTTTTTTGCGGTATTTTATGTTTACCCGTGTTTGGTACGACTTTGCGTCGCAGTATTAGAAATTGAATCCTGTGCTCTTGAATTTGGGAATTAAATACAGTGCATAAAGTCAGGAAATAGGAACCTCATCGCCATATAAATCGTGATATTTTGTTTACGAAATAGTTTCACAATATATATGATGACGACGCAACTGTGGTAAAAGCAAGATGTCCCGAAGGTCCTAGGACAGGCCCTTTCATTCTACCTTTTATATAAACACTGAGCGGCAATCACAAAGCTTGTTTTCCTGACCAACATTGTTTAAACTCAGCCCCGTTATGCAGGCTAACAATCATGCAGAAAAAAAGTGATACAAATGAGTCACTCTAATCTATACGCACATTCGAACTCAGATAGAATCTAGCCTAAACTAGCGCGTACCCAATTGTGACTATTGTCAGCATATAGCTTGGCGTTTGAGGTTTCTTCTTGAAAAGATTCCGGTCAATTCAGTTTGCAATTAAGCACCACCCTTGCTAATTGTTTCTATTTTCCTAATAGAACAAAGTAGTATTGAATACTCTACACTACATTGCAGCTACTTAATTGGTCACTTTCTGACGAACTGCGCGCTTCATCGTCATATTTCAGCCCACGCGCCTTGGGTTTTTGTCCAGCCCAGACACATAAAATTATTGTCCATCTCATAACAGAGGCCATAACATACTTCTATATGTTTGAGAAGTTAAATATGTGTGAAGAACACGTAGTTATTTAAGTTAGCCTCAAAATTTGAAATTTATTTAACGCTTTCCCAAATCACTTATAAACGTGCGTACCGAGGATAAAAACGCCGGAAAAGATTTGCAGAGTATATTTAAGATAATTTGGAGATGCATTTGTTTATGGGGTATCCTTAAAGGGACCATGAAGGCAATTTAATTCTTTTTTAAAAAGAAGGTGTTTTCGGAAGCATTGGGGTCCTGGCATGCCACACAATTTGTTCTAGAACGTTGTGACTCTTATTTCTGTACCTGCAAATAAATTTGCGAAACCGAAACAAACATTCCGATTTCTTCCCTTTTTCGCCTCTGGAAAGAGAAGTGACGTCAGGGAGCACTGTCGGCATCGGTAGGATTTAGTGCACACTCAGTGTGGTTCCTGTGGTTCGCTCTAGTGCACGGCGGTCTGTGAAGAAAACCTGGAAAAAATGGACGACAACGCCGCGCTCTCAAACGAGTTTGAGCTCCCGTTCAGCGACCTCACGCCGACTCAACGGGAGATGCTGCTAAGGACGCAGAATTCTGGATTGGCGCTTTACGAGGGCGCCCTAGACCTACCACGAACTCCTCGGTCGCCGCCTCCAAAGCGACTCCCCGACCCACTTTTACCCAGACTCCGGCTGACCTGAAGGTGCTGCTCAAAGTCTTCTGGTCGGAAATTCAACGAACAAATCCTGACACCGCTGTCCACAACCCTACTCAAGACGACGGCGCGCAAGCAAATGCTGCGCATTGCTGCATCGGTCGGCAGTTTATGCACAATAACGTCGCCCGATCGACCGCACGTCTTTAGCCGACCTTTCGCGCAACCTACTACTGCACATAAACGCGGCACGACTGGTGAGACACCAGTTCGCAAAGCGAACACGAGACGACGCACGAAACCAAAACCATAAGTCCGCCGCCCCCGGCGCTTGTACCTTTTTCTTTTTTTGTCCATGGTTGCTCGATGCTTTATACGCGCCCGAGGTAGCAGTGCGGGATGCGTTCCACCAGTGACAAACGGAGGGATCGCTTCAGATTATGCTTTTATACACGGTATGAAACCTATTAATTCCCAACTACAACTTCAAAAGATTATCCAACGTTCAAATAAAAAAAAATTCATCACATCTCGCCACCGAAATCGAAACCAAGAGCGCGTCTATTGTTTGAACCAATCGCCAGACGAGATGCCCGTTGTCGTCACGCTTCGGCGCACTTTAGTTCACCTTTCTGCCGCCGCCTCGGTGGGGTCTCAGGCATCGTTCCCGGCGCTATTATTACCGCGCCCGTTTGCTAGATTGGTGCGGCACCCAAACTTCTGTTCGGGCTAGAACTTGGTCAACGGTATCTGAGACGTGCCTGCCATCCATTTCAATCGTCGAATGAAACTTCGAAACTGCCTTCATGGTCCCTTTAACGTGATAGAATTTATGTTGTCGAATCTTCAGTCAGTAAAAAATCATATTTTTATTATAATAAAAAAAAAAATGACTGCATGAAGTTCACATAAACGACCGCCATAGGAGGACGACACTCGAAAATATGCCTGCGGAAACTTTTTGTTTATATGTTCACTGTTTGGCAGGATAAAACACCGGGTCGCGGGGTATGCCACAAAGGACTGTGTGCTGACATAATGGGGATCCATTAGATTTCCTCTCTGCTCAATGGCAGACGCAGCAATAATAAAAGAAAGAATCAGTCTTCCCTTCCTCAGCTCGTTATTAGGACAAGCAGCCAAATATTCAGACGCTAATTTTATACCGTCAGTTTTCATTCTAGTCATGCGCTGGGGTTGGCAAAGAGTAAAACATGGGTTGAGCTTTAGGCATTGTTAGAGTTCGGCTATTCTCATCTTTGATTGATCACGAGCCATTACCCGAATGTTTGGTGATGCTGATTGTCATGAACCCGAGCACTCGACTCGGGCTCATGACAATCGAGTACGTCACGGTGTTACGTGACTCGCGGTGAGAAGTCGTGATGCCATGTGACGTCACGGTATAAACAACGCATGGAAACCTTGTGACGTTTTCAATTTAAGTCGACTTGATGCAGCGAGTCACTTGACTACGTCACGGGCCCACGCGACGCGACATCACTTGACAACATATCTTGACACCGTGATGTAACGTGACCACATGACACATGATTAATCATAGTGCTGGCACAAAAACGCCACGAAAACCCACAATTTTTCATACAATTCAATTCGATATATGACAATTTGATCACTACTCAGAAATACAGCGGCCATTTTTTTCTCTCAATCATTCAATTTGTAATACAAAAGAAACAAAATACCGTGAACCGTTTTGAACCGGTTACCGTTATATTTTGTCCAGTTTAGTTCCTAGATGGCGGCGAAGATTTCGGTTCGGTTCAGTTCAGGTTCGGCTAAAGATAACGGTTCGGGTTCCGGTTCGACACTGCATAGAAACACCTCTTCACTTTTACTATAAAAAGGCTTAACTATATGAGCCATGGGAAAGTATTTTACGTTTAATTGTAACTTTAGATTAAGGCAAACCTGCTTTTTATTACATTCAGAAAAAAACAAAAAACAAAAACAAAAAAAAAAACAGCATTAAGTGCCGGAGCTTGCAAAACTGCTTTTTTTAAAGATTTTTGTAAAGTTGGTTCGATCCGTTGGGCGCACGCTGTAGGCTAAGCGAGGCGTACACACCTGTTGATGGGGACCGCCTCGTGGTTGCCGATGGCCGGCAGCACGGTGGCAGTGGGGAAGTATTTCCGGATCAGTTGTGACGTCACACGCAGGTTCGCGATAGTTTCCTCCTTCGTGGCCTTCCACGGGTCGTGGGGCGGCAAGTCTCCGGTCCACAGGATCATGTCGATCTGGACGTTGGGAGGGAGGCTGCCTTAACAGCGGCATCCGCTGCCTGACGTTGCTTTCGCTGTTCACCGGTATCGCGCGCGCGCATTGGCTTCCGCCCCGTGACGTCGGCTCCCTCTCGCCTTTGTTCTTCCCTACTCTCCTCCTCTCTACGCGGCGCGCTTCCCTTTCCACTGTGTTGTCCACAGACGGACGCCATCAGCTTTTCCGTCTCGTGGGTACCATGCTAACACGCAACAAAAATGCTTCACTCTTTTGGCGGAGGATGGTTGCACTGACGTAATGTGAAAACACCTAGGTTCATTATTTAAAGGTGTTCCTGTTTCAACTGCCGTCGAAACGTTGCAGTATAACTTAGCCGGTCAAGAGTATAATTTAGCCGGTCGGTTGGGGTACATCGACATTCACTAACATAAGAAAAACTATTTTTGATTAAAGAAGTTTTAAGAAGCATCTGTAACGTGTTTTACGACTTCCACACGCCTGAACTGTTTTGGAAGTTCCAGATAAATAATATTTACAAATTATACGAATATATAATATGGACTAGTTTCAAAAAAGAAAAAAAAAAAGAAAAAGAACAAAACAAGGAGGCCATGTTTCTTGGAAATTCTTACGTTTCTGAAGGAAAATTCATCGGTGCACCCAACTCAAGTGGAGGGTGACAAGTGGAGGGTGGTCATTCAGCGAACAAGTTACGGTTCTCAAATGCCTCAGTTTACTCTTCCACATCTGTTAAACAGCTCTTAATATATTAATAGTCTTCATTTTGGCTCTCTAACCTATAAAAATATGTACTTATATTTCAGAACCTGAATGATTGCTTTATGTTTTGCACAGTGCACAAGTACTTGTAAATTATTTCCTGTGTATGTAAATTTCTATTGTTAGTACACGCCGTATGTGTACATGAATTTTCGTATCATGTATCGGCATTTCCTGCACGCTAGCAGTTGACCATTGTAAGGGCCCGAGGAATAGTCAGCTGCACAACGCAGCTTTTTTCCACGGGTCACTCATCATAATCGATAGAAATAAAGATATATTATTATTATTATTATACACATTTTTATTATTAAGGACAACGTGGCCACCGCGTTTCCCTTCATATAAACTATCCCCGTAGTGTTCTATCCATCCTCTCAACCCACACGGAATTCTTCTGAGAGAACAGAGCGAGGCAAAGTTAGCACGAACACGCGACTGCCGATTTTACTTAATTTTCTAAACTCTCCAAAAGCTCATTGATTTTCTCTCCCTCTCTTTCTCCCTATCTCCCTTTTTTTATTGTTGCTGTTTGCTTTTTTTACCGTTGGAAGACTGGCATCAAAATTGTACTCACTGAGAGCAATACTGGACGAGGGGTACTGAGCAGGTAAAACGTCTATTTCCGTTTTTCGATGCGCATCTTTATAGCTAGAGCCCTGCGGGGATAAGGGTTTGATCAGCTGCATCCGATCCGTATCCGAAGATTTTGTATCCGCATCCGAACCGCATCCGCACTGTTCTTAAATAATTGTATCCTCATCAGATCCGTATCTGCAGGCTTCGTATCCGTATCTGGACCGCATCCGTAAAATTCGGAATCGCATCCGAGCCTCCATTCACGCATTTATTTTACATCATAAAATCAGGCCTGGATAAAAATAAAATAAAAATCCATTTGGACGGTATATTATAAGCCGTCTGCTTACCTTTGTACAAATAGCTCTTCGTGTCAGAATCTGGTGAAAGTCATTTGATTGTATTCTATTTTATTGTATTTTATTAATAGGCGATCATCCTTGCAGAGACACTTCGCATCGCTGGAAAGATGATCGCAGTTATGAGATCGTCTTGCGAGTCTATGCCATTGAAACCGTCCAGAAGATGACTTTAAAAGGAAGAACCTCTTAATATTGGTTTCCTTTTTGTCTTGTAGAACCCACTTGAAGAACACGCATATTTTATAGAAGGACGGACAAATAACATTGTGCCCCATTTTATTTACGTCAAACAATAATAAAAAAAAAAATGTGGGAGAAAAAAGGCGCTCAATTATCGCAGCAAAGTACTCGTGTATATGCGGAACGGCGCGATTATTCTACTGGGAAAATAACACAATATTAATTAATGAAAACACCTCCTATCGGTTTGTTTTAACTCGAACCCTCAACTGCACGCGCGGAACCATATACTTAAAAACAACTAATGCCAACTGTCGAGAAAAAAAAAAAAAAAAGAACGCACACAGACGCAACGTTTTTTGTCGAGGTTGTTTTGTTGTGTTTAAGTAACAGAATATCGTCAACATGGACGGATTGAGACTGGTTCGCCTTTCTTAAATTAATACCCGCTAATGAGAAGCTCGTTGATGAACTTGGTGCTGGGATGGTATGCACGAACTGCGCTACAAGAATGAGGCGCGGAAACACGTGCTGGCACAAGTTCCACCACTTCAGCCGCTCCAGAGGATCGCGTATCACTTATTTATTCGCTTCACACTGCGCGGTCTTCACACGTTTGTGGACGGTTTCGGCGCAAATGTAGACCCAGACCCGCGCATATTCGCATCCGATCCGCACCCGCAGCACCTGGCATCCGCATCCGATCCTCAATCCGCCAAATCTAACAAATTTTTATCCGTATCCACCGTCTACTGCGAATATCTGCGGATGATCCGCCGGTAGTCCACGGATACGCAGGGCTCTATTTACGGTCACTGATCAACTGACATCTTGATCAAAGGAGTCAGGAAGCAACAAGCGTGAATCTAATAAACCTCTTTCGGCGGTGTTCAAAACTCTCAGTATTGACTACCACTATGTGCATTGGGGCAGTGAAAATGACGTCCCACCCGCTCAGTACTTCAGGGCAGACCGCGCACTTTTTCTCAACACGACCTGGGCCCTGCGACTGAAGCCAGCTTCCTAGATGGATGATCGATGCTCTTAGTGCACAGCGGGAAAGGGACACGCGAAGCCTTTCTCGGGGCGTCTCGTCATACCGTGACATATAAGCTATACGCTTATGAAGTATCGGCTCTCAATGCCCCGATTGTCTTGTGGGCGCCGCCATTTTGGCGCTTAGCGCAGAGCGAGCGCGATCTTGGCGATAGTTACAATTAGGAAACGCCGACTCCCTGCGCTTTAGGTGTATATACGGTGTCAGGACGCACGGGCGATATTGTTCTTCTCCGTCGCGGCCTGTTTTAATTTTTTTATTTTTGAAGAAGGGAAAAGCGTCCTCTGTTATGTCAGATAAATGTTCAGATAACTGTCCACCATGAATCTAAGCAACAAGATGACTCCAGTGTCGCTACTATGAAGCGTAGCTTATTTAGGCCGTGTTTCAAACTTTACTCGATCTAACTCCAGGGTAAGAGTTTTGTACCTTGGCGTTCCAGAACCTACCCGCGTCCAGCGTTCTTCAATCTGTGTTGTCGCGTGACACGACCCGCCGGAGTAACTCGGGTTCATTTGGGTAAGATTTGGAACACAGCCTTAGTGACTCTACGCGGAGCGCAATTTCGTCTGCTTCTTGCGCAGCGCGCGGTTGCAGTGACGTCAGAACGCGGAGCTCTGGTTGGCTCCGATTGAAAGAATAGCGGGATAGACTTCAAGGCAGCTAGCATTGAGGTCTACTCACTATGCTTCCAATCAGAGCCAGAAGAGCTCGGAATTCTGGCGTTACCGCCACCCCTGCGCGAGAAGAAGACAAACTTGCGTTCCGCATAGTCGCGGAGAGCTTAAGAGCAATGCAGTGCAAGGCGAGTTCCGAGAAACTTGTCATCACCCTGCTGCCAATAAGGTTGCGGAATTAGCCAATAAGAACGCAAAAAAAAAAAAGAATAACGAAGCAAAAAGCGTACAACAGTGACCATAGTGAGATCTATATAGAGACGCAGAGTGGCTCGACACGCGCTCCGCTTGCCTTGTGGTTCTGGGAGGCGTGCTGCAGCATGCTCTCGAGGGTTCGCAGCGGGATGTCGCACTTGCCCAGGTAGCCCCACTTGCCCGCCTTCGTCTCGTCCGAAGGCGCCTTGCCGTTCGCCCCGCGGCAGCACATGGGCTCCGGGCAGTCGCCGTTGCTCCCGGGCTCGTACTCCGGGTCGTAGTGCGTGTCCGAGACGTGCAGCACCCTAAGATGACGCTTCCCAAGAGCGTCCTGCGATCCGAGACGACGACATTGAGCACGGAGGGGAAAGTCGGTGGAAGAGTACGTTCAGAAGGAGGACAAAGCTTTCGAGTGTGGCGTCTGCTATGGGCCCTAAGTGGAATCAGTTGATTTCCGATTCGAACGGACATTGGGGGGATGTGATTTCGCTTGGTTAAGAGTGGGCTGATGAAGGACACGATCAGTTACATTTATCTGTCTACATGTACACTGTTAAGCGGTAAGACAAGGTGCCAAACGCTCAAAGGAAGACTGACCTCTTGACGTCATGAAGACGTTGGTTCGTGTCAAGTACTGAAGTCAAGGGTGGGGACATGTGCTTTGTTTACTCGTTATTTTCTGAAGGTGGTTAAGACAGTTCGGTCCATCTACGCTATTGATATACTGTTTATGGTCTTTGACACAAAGAAATACTTTCTGCTGATATAAAATATTACTGTTAGTTTTTGTCCCATGCACGTACATGGACTTCTTTCATTCACATACATTTTGTTCTATAGTAATAAGGAAGACATTACGAAGCGTTGTCGGGCATTTTATCTGGAACCCTTAAGTGCCACATGGATCTAACATTCGACCGTTTCCTTACGCGTCATTTCGTGGATGACTGCGTCACTGGTGTTACTAACGCTTATCACTTGTCGACGCGTCATTACAAATTTCTTTAGAATAATTCAAGTTTCTTTCTTTTTTCTTTTTTGTAATTCTGAGTAAATATTAGCAGCATATAAAATTTAAGTTTTCAAAAGTTCGCTTTTGAGTCCCAAAGCAAACAAGAGTTTCTTGAAAAGGCAGCCAGATGCACGGGTGGATTCTTTTTTTTTTTTTTTTATGGTGTTAAATATTCCAACATGGGTTAAGGAAATCGGAAATATTCGAAAGTAAAAGAAACGTCAGGAAAAATGGAAACAGACGTTTTCGGTTTCTTCGCTTCTTTCTGTCAATTTCAAGTTTTCTTTTTTTTAATCTCAATTTTAAGTTGTTTATTTAGCATAACAAAAAACAAGGTTATTTTCTTGACCAAGAAAACTGAGAGAAAATTCCGCCATACGTATTAGAGTGACAGGGCGGCATGGGTGTTTAGGGTGTTAGCATTGTGCGGGATATAAGGGGATGTTATTGATGGTCGAATAGCTTTTGATAGTCATACGGAGTTCGTTGTAAACTCAGCCAGAAAGTTAAATAGGCAGTATACAAATATGAACATAATGAATATGAATAAAACAAAAAACCAGACAAGGAAACAGGCCCAAAAACGGGACCAGCGTTATTTATTTACCATTGTCCTTGTCTGTTCTTTGCGCTGTATACGTTTATATTGCCTAAACAACCACTCCATTTGAATATTTTAGTCCGGATATGGTTCCGCTTGCGTTTATGCCGTAAAAACAATTCGAGTTAAGACTACTAACCACTGCTGCAGTTGCGATTACACACAAGCACGCCGGGCGGTACGACGCCGGAAGGAGAACAAATTGCACTGATATATAATCCGGGTCTACACACAGATAAATCCCCGACACTGAAACAGTCAGCCCTTCACCAGTGGCATATCAGTGTTAGTTCGCTTGGCGCGTGCGTAGTTTCCACTGTACGGAACTGGTCAGCGCGTTTGTTTATTGTCTTCGATAAACACTGGACATGGCGATCATTCACCAGGGGAGAGGGAGGAGAGGGCGAGGGGAGAGATGGCCGAATGCGTAAGTGCCTACCGCAGCTCGAAGCACATGCATGCTCGCGCTTCAGAACCCATGGATCCTAAGTTCGATTCCCACCCCTGCTCATTTCAATCTGGATTAGCGTGGCAGCGTGCAATCGTTTGTTATTACTCCGTGATACACGTTCAAGACTCCAGATTAACAGTGGAGCTGCATTAACTAAATTTCTTATCAAAAGCGGAGACACCAGACGATAACTGGGGCCAAATCTGCTTAAAACAAACACAGGACACAATTCGGTACTCACCGTGAGTCCTCTGCCCGTCCTGGCGTCGACTGCGGGCTTGGGCCGGCCGTTTAGGGGCACCGTCCAGTTGTGCACGGGGCTGGCAAGGGGCCCGCAGCTGGAGCCCATCACGACGGTGCACAGCTCGTGCGGGGGCGCCTTGAGGTTCCTCATGATATAGATGACCTCGTCCTGCGTGTCCAGACACTATCACAGCGTATCCAGGTAGTATAAGCAGTAACCGCTCACGAACCCATGGGGTCGGAGTCACGCTGGAAGAGAACAGAGCTGTCGGAACGATTTTAGAGGGGGGGGGGGGGGGGGGTTGAAATTACACTCGGGCTTCGCGCATCTCTTGGCAAGCGCACTGTCGGGTTGGGGCTCTGCGCTCCTCGCGGCCTTGAAAACGTGTGCACGAATATAGACGGTTCCTTGAGATCCTGTCCTGTTGCGTCATCGCACGGCGTTCGTCAGAATTAAGAGCGAGCCTCCGACAGAGTCGAAGTAAAATGGCCTCACAAACATTTTGTAAACGTAAAGCAAAGTTTCTTGGCGCTTTTAGTAGAATAAAAAGCGCATAAAAAAACATGCAAAATGTTTGAGCGGAGAGGATCACAAAGCAATTATACAAGCTTCATCATGCTGACGAAAACTGGTAAGCACACAGTGGGTGGCCATCACCCTTATCGGCGTTCCTCTGCGGTGCTCTAGAGAAGGACCTCCCTGCTGCTTCTGCCGTTTCCCGATTGCTCGCATACGTTCTTCGGCCGTCTGCTTCGAACGAGACATGGCCACGGTGGAAGGAGAGAGAGGTGTCTGAACGGCGCCGCCTCGCCATGGAGCAAACGTGTTTCGAAGATTCGCTTCCATTTCTGACAAACGCCGTGAAATGGCGCAGCATGACAGGAGCCGAAAAAACCGTCCATATTTTCCCACACGTTTTCAAGGCCACGACCGCGTCTGCGTGAAGGTGTGTGAGTTTCCGTGCTAGAGCAATCATCGTCCCTCGATAGTTACGTCGGTAAAGCATTTGGCTCACATCTCAAGGGGATGGGTCCTGCCGGAGAAACTTTTCTTTCAAGTGTTTTATGTGGCTTCCTATGGGCGTAACATTTTTCGGTATCGGTTTTTTGTTACAGCCAAACGTTACAGTAAAACCTTACAGATCTCAATGAACGCCAGCTGACAGTACACATTCTCAGTTAAAGTTTGTGGGGGATGTACCCCCTGTGCACAATATGAGCTGCAACGCCCAATCAGGCCTTCACCTGCGTCTGAAATCCACTCAACCTTTAATTATCTCTCAATTCATCGTGGAATTCTTTGAATAGGACTTAATCTTCGGGTTTTATCAAAAAAGTTCGGAGCACAGCTTTTTCGAAAACCTGCGAGTAAGCCGTAAAAAGGTCGAAGGACAGCTGCAGCTCATATCGTCCGCGATGGTAGATCGGATACCCTTCATTCCACCGCAATAAGCTTTTCCTTGCTCGAAGCTAAGCCCTCAAAACCGCTTAGGAACGTCGCGGAAAAATTGACGTCGATTAACACAAACTTCGTATAAAAAAAGGTGTAAGTTGGTCCGAACACAAAACACCTCATTGACATATGGGTGACAGTGTGCCCCAGAGTGCAAATTAGTTAACTTGTTACACAGAATGCGACCTTCTAAAACTGGAAAGGGAAGGGGGGGGAGGGGGTTCATGTTTCAAGCTGGCGAAATAGATAAATAGATCTGGTGATGCTTTTCGTTGGAACGTTGAAATATCCACTTGAAAATGTTCCGGCGTGTAACTGAAATCTCAGTTACGTGACGTTAAGAACTTTGATACACCCGATTGTTCCTCTGACAATTAGGCCTCGCAAGCAGCTTGACCACTGAAGACTTTTCCTATGAGCGAATTATCTCATCGCTGTCATGTAAAACAAAACAAATTGTCTGCGCGCTGGTCGCCATAATAATTTCTGGTTGGAAGCACGCAGGAGCCTCCAACACTTTAAAATTGGTACGAACTTATTTATTCCTGCAGTCAAATGAAACATGGGCGTTGGGGGATAAGGACACCAACGAACAAGTCACGAAACAAGAAGCATACGAAGCCCCACCCCGCGTTTCTTAGCCGATTGTGCACCTACCGAGGTGTTGACACAGCTGTTTGTCTGAGATAGCTAGCTACACAGCGTTGCTTATCAATGGAGCAGGCAAACGTTTTGTACGTGCCATGCCTCGCATGCCCGTTGCCACTCACTCAGATATGAAGAAGTGCCTACAGTCGCTCTTTGTCATGCATTTGGTGCACAGGCCGCACAATGCGCTTGGGTGCAATTCTAACGCACGCACAAGTACGGACGTTTTACAAAATGCAAAACATATAACATTTTTTTTTTTCATATATAAGCTACGCATCGGAACGTTCCTTCT